TTTTTTTTTTTTTTTTTTTTTTTGTATCACGCCAAATTTAGTACATACATGAATGCCAAGTTTCATAAAATAATCTGTTGCAAACTCCAAAAAAATATTGCCTTGGGAGCCCAAATTTGCCACTTTTTGCAAAGAATTGTATGTCAGGGTGCAACACTTGCCCCCAGTTTTCTGTTTATATAAGAAATATGAAATACTGTGGATATTGCGTGACATAGTTATGGTTAAAGTCCATTTTAGCAGTGCTAATTCCCTATCTCCCTATCACCTTCAAATAATCACAATATTTTCCTGTTAACAGTATATAATTTTAAATAAAGTTCAACTCTAGTGTCCAAAGTCCACTACTCTGTCCTTCTATAATCCTATAAAAAATCTAACAAGATGCAAGGAGGCTCTTCTCGCAGGGTAAAAGTCCACACAACATGCCAACGGATTTGTGAAACACTGCTGCGTTTTTTTTTTTCCCCTTCACCCTAAAAGATTTCTGCTGGACACACAAACAAGTTATCTTCTGGCATCCGATCGTTCATAAACAATGGAATTGAGTGAGCTCGATTTGTAGCTTGCATTTATGCGTTAAACACTGAAAAGATGCCTTTAAAAATGGACTAATAACTAAATTATTACACGCACTTAATTAATATTAGCCTAAGTTGTGCGTGTACTTCTACATGCACTCCTAAGGGTGATATTAACCTCCTGTAGATGTTCCTCTTTATCCAGCCTTGCTCTCTTCTGCATCTCGTAGCGCGCCTTACCTCTCTCTTCTTCCTCCTTGCTTGAATACTCAAGCGCTGGGACCTCAGGTATAACCTTTAAATCAGAACCCCAAACAGCTGGAACATACCAAAGCGACGCACTATTTGTCAGTCGACGATTTCCAGTTCCCAGATTTTCCGCCCAAACAAACGCTTTCACCTCCAACGATCGTTTTGACGCATAACCCAGCTCGACGTGAACCTGTGCCACTTCTCCGATGTACATCGGCAGTAAAAAGTCTGTTCTTTCGACACGCGCTAAGGCAGCAAAAACTACTTCGTCATCTTTGCGTCGATTCTTGTTGCAGTGGCGCGTAGCGATTATAAAACCTCCTTCCTCGATCAGCTTCAAGATCGTCCCACCATGGACATTTCCCGCCATGTTTGCATCATCTGGATGCATCAGCCGGCAAACTTCGATTGACCCGCGAGAAATTGAATCTTCCACTTCCATTGACTTGCACGCGACCTGGGTCGCCATCTTGTTTTCCGTAACGTGGACAGCGGTTGGACAGCGGTGAGTACATTAGCGCACGCGTACTATTCCAATCGGACGGAAGTCAACATGGCGGCTGAAGAGGAGGATGAAGACATTTGGGACAGTTGGGAAGATGTGGCGGATTCTGGGGTAAGAAATGAATAAATCGTGTTAGTTTTTTCACCTTGAAACGTTCATGCAATTGTGTTCGAAACTGAGACTCGTTTAGCTGTATACAATTATAAGCCTTCGTTAAGTTTTCTTTTAAAATTTGTCATGGTGGCATCGGTAATTTTTATTGCAATATGCTTACGTTTCTCGTCTGGAGTGATTAAAATTGATTTGTTATTTGCTTTGCTAGTGTGTTTTTTGTTATCCATTTTAAGGTTAAATACTACAGATTTTTGCACGCGATTTTGCAGCTAAAAAAACTACCTGTTTTATACAATCTTTTTTTTTTTAGTTATGATTCAATTCAAAATTTTAAATTGTTTTATCACTAGGAATTAGAAAGACGGATGGAGGAGAGAGAAAAGCAAGTGAGAGAAAAAGATCAGAAAGCATCGAGTACATCAAAAAAGTAAGATGAACTAATTGTCCTATAAAGGATCTAAAATATGTACAGACTGGCATATGTGTAAGCTAAATATTTGTATTTTGGAACTGATGAAAAATCACTGTTGTCCCTCAAAAAAGGTCTCCCGAGCTAGGATTTTTTTTCTGGAAATTTTAGGGAGTACTTTAAAGTAAAATGCTACTAAAAGTGTTATTTATCAGATTGAATAATTTTTTTTTTTTTTTGCCAGAATGTCTTTGCCTATTATGGGGCCCCTTGATTCAGAAAAAATAAATAAATAAATAAATGGAATTAAAAATTAGAGTTAGTGAAAAAGTTTATACCTCAAGGTCCAAAAGTCTATATATGGACCTAGTGGGTCATAAGGCCAGTGATCAACTTCAGTTCTGTAGCATGATGCTGAACTTCATTAGATCCAAGTTTATTCATTTTACTCTCCCTGGATGGCATGCCAGTCCATTGCAGGGATTTTAGCATTTAATTCACCTGAACCAAGTGATAGTCTTGGATGGAGAGAGGCACTCTGAGAGTGAAGTATCTTGCCCAAGAAAACAAAGCAGCACTGACCACCACATAACTGTAAATGTGTACATAGATTCTGTAGTAATTAATTGCTATAATTTGTATTCTGTCAGATTACAGGAAACTAAGACTGGTTCACCAGTTCTTATGCAAGAGGATACAAACAGAACTCTATACAAACCACAGGTATATTTTCATAACGTTAACTGATATAGCTGGCATAATGACCCAGTCACATGTTATTATTACATAACAGTATGCCTCTACAGTGATCTGTGGCATCTTACCTTGGACATAGTACATGGTTAATATACTATAGATGTATTGAGATGTTCGACTCTTTCAATCCATGGTGAAGCTCAAAACGTAACTTGTGATTGCATTTTTTGTCGGGAGCAATCACAAGTTAATGACAAAAATATGTGTACAGTATGTTGGAGAAAATGAGAAGCAAGCAACATGAATCACAATCTGACAATTGACAGTGTACATGTACATGTATACCGAGTTGTTGTTGTTGTTGTTTTTTTTTTCTTTCACTCTTTCTGGTCTCATTTTGTCAAGGCTAACAACTGTACAGGTCCATGTACCTCAGGGTCCGAAATTAACTTTTTTAGGTAGGCGCCAACTGGCGACTGAATTTTTTTTTTCAGTCGCCATATGGAAAAATGTGGTCGCCAAAAAGTGTCAATAAAATTTTTCCTTCGCNAAAAGCAGCAGAACGGTAAAAAGTGAGTGACCAATTGGCGGGCGCCTTTGAATTTTATTTTAATCGATTTGGCTGAAAATCAAAGTTTGTGTAATTATCATGGCTTGAAATAGTTAATCGCCTGCTGGCGACCAGCTGTGAAATTCTGGTCGCCAGTGCAAAATTTTTAGTCGCATTGGCAACCAGGAAAGTGCAATTTCGGACCCTGTACCTGTGTTTGATTTCCAGAGACTTTGTTCAAGCACTGATTGTATCTTCATGTACATGATGTATCTTTTGTATATGCAACAATTAGATTATCATAAACTGGGAAGGCAAAACAGGTGAATGAGCCTATGACCCGTGGCATTGGAAAGTCTGTATGGGCCATTTATAAAAAAAGTTTGAGCCATTAGGGAAAATAAATGACCCATAAAAAAAAAAAATTTTGACAAACGATGTAATTGTAATTCTTGATTGCAATTGTTTTATACTTTTTACTGGAATTCAAGCTAGGTTAAAGTGTACAGTCACAGAATAGCTAACACAGATTATATAACCTTTCACCAAGGTTAAACTATACATTCCAAACTGGAACTGACTAAACATAACACTCTAAGTCTGACATCAACATCACTGAGACATGCTCAGTTTTAAATTTAGAGTACTTGAGCTATGCATGAACTGTACATAACACACGTGTACATGTAGCTCTCCAGTAGTTAATGTGTTTATTTGTCATTACACTGAAAATTTCACAAATTAAAATCCTTTCCACCAAATAGTGTATATTTTACTAACTGTCTTGTGGCTAGGGGGCATCACAAGCCCAGAAGGTTCATAATGCCTCATTTCATGGCTTTATGTGACATACAGTAGACATACAGTATGTGCATGGCACACAGCCTTCCCAATCCCTGGATTATGAGACTGAGTTTTCTATGGGCCAGTAGTCAATGAGGCATACTGTAGCCGAGCTGACTATCTCTTATAGGAAACAAGGAAGAGTAATATAACTGTTTTAGCAGGCACTCTACAAGATTACAGTACTTTTGAGCCTAAAATCAAGCATACATGTAAGTTTCAATTTCTGGAGAATTGCAAATTGCGCCCACAATCATTGTTTATCCACCTTTATAGTTCACCACTAAATTTTCTCTGATTCTTATTGGTGTAAAGTGATCATCTCATGTACATGTAATAGTGTTCATTTGCACAGAGACACTGTCTGCCAATAAGTGCCCATCCAAGAAAATTACCCAGAAGGATAGTAATTTCTGTGGGTTAACTATCAGCCGATAGTTCCTCAACAGAAACACTCTATTGTTTATAATAAATAGAAATGTAGAACACAGCTGAGTAGCTACTGAAATAGATTACATGTAAGTGCCTAAAAGAAGTCCATTCTTATTTGTAGTTGAGAATCTTAAAGAGGCCAGATTCTGGTGGTACAGATAATGGAAACAATCGAGAGTCCTCCAAAGACAAGCCTGTACATAAAACTTTGGCAGAAAGACAGGCACAGTATGCAGAGGCCAGGTAGGAAAATAAGCAAACTTTAAGAACATTTTCATAGGCATTTGTTACGTAACAATTTAACTGTATGCAGTAAATGTATCCCTGCTTGTGGATCATAATGAGATTCAATGTTGGTTTCTATTTACTATTCAGTATAGATCTACTAGCATTCTATCACAAATGCCGTTCTCTGATTGGCTATGTTACTCACTATCTATTCTGGATTGACAGTGAGTAGCGTAGCAGTATGCGCTTGTTAACAAAATGATGGCCGCTTCTTGGCATTTTCAAAGTGTCTGTGAAGAGGATTTAGATAAAGTTTTGAATTACTAGTAGATTTATACTAAAACAGTTAGATTTTTCGCTCTCAATTTCTATGCTTGAAAGTTGACTTGGGCTGCGCCCTCGTTAACTATCACGCAATAGAAATCTTGATCTCAGAATCTAATTGTTTATTATGATGGTTTCAATTTATTTATTGTTCCCCCTGGTCTATTAATTTTGGAACTGGATGCGCTAAAAGAGATGAACTCGTGAACTTTAGACTTCATCTAAATATGCATAAATCAGTTCACTTTTTAAACAAGTGCTCTAGGTGCGTGTGAAGGCACATATGCATGTCACTGTACAATGCAGAATTGTAGCTGTCTGTAATGATGTCAATTTGAACTAAATTCTCATTTGTTTTATTTTGATTTATCATCTTTTAGAGCAAGAATATTGGGAACTGCGTCAGACGAAAACAATGATTCAGAGTAAGAACTTGCTTTTCATCCTTGACTTTGTATTTCAAAGACACTACAGTTGAACCTTTTTACTAATGGCCACCTCTCTACAACAGCCACTTCTTTTGGTCCCGTCAGATGGCCTATACATTCTTTGCATTCACTTTTATTTTAACCTCACTACAACGGCCACTTCTCCTTAAGGGCAACGGCCACTAAAACACATCATGACTGCCAAAATAACCTCTTGACAATGGCCAGTTAATCAATGACTGACAAATGGTGTCTATAAAACCCCATTTTTTATTGTAAAAGGTCACCAAACTTGATCCAAACTGCATGTCACTGGTCTCTGTTTTTGTCTAGTTTCTGTTTTATTGATATACTTTGATTGAGTTACGTACAGTTTACATGCTAGAATAAGAAAGGATATGTTGTACCCCTCAAAAAACAGGTGTCATGATCACCTTATAAAAAACATGTTGCCTACAAGTTAAAGGAGCTACATTGTATATTTCATATCCTTTGCAAGGGTCACGTACCATGCACGGTAGGTGTATGAAAGTAAAAGCCCCCCCCCCCCCTCCCCTCTGAAAGTAGTGACCTCTGAAACTAGCAATGTCAAATGTTGTAACAGATTCAAAGAAAAACACATCGATTATTCTGTTCTGGTTATTTTGATTTATGGTTATATTTCATCTACCATCGATGTGCATGTTTACACATTAGACACAATGACATGAAAATTTATGTTAAAAAATATTGGTCCATGTACGGTGCACAGTTTACTTGTAGCTTTTTCCTATGCCAGAAAGTACAGGTATTATAGTACAACATTTGAATTTTTTGGTTGCATGAAGATAGGTGTAAATATGAAAAAAAGGTAGACTGACGGAGAAAAATTGTAACAGCAGGTTAGCACTATTTGTCAGTTAGGATTTGCAGGTTAGGAACTGTATAACTGACATCTTCTTTTGCTTCTTTTAAACTAATTTAGAAAAGATGGAATACCACAAACAATACAACTTGAACAGAAACTTCCAGAGAATGTCATTCGACTACCAAGGTACATGCAAGGCTTGTTAGTATGATTTACAACGCATATGTGTATGTTTAGTGTGTCTATCTTCCCTGCGCGAGCAAATTATAACACAGAAATCATGGAACGGAATTAAGCTATCGTGATATGGGTCACTTCGGGTTGAGTGTTCTATCTACTTATTGTCTGGACTCGCATAATAGAGCGGTTTTCGAGTGTCGCTAAACCTTAACGGAAGTAATCACTTTAGCCAATCATAAAGGACACGGACAATACGAACCAATACAAACTCGAAGTTATGACATGTAGCTGACGCAAAGCGCGGGAAAACGTCTACGAGCGAGTCACGATTGGTTTTTGTTTTACTTCTTGATTGGATGAAAAAGTGGCGCGAGTTTTTACGCCAATCGTGTAGCCTAGGTGATGCAAAATCACTGAATTTTCGACATGGCTCAAATGAAAACCACTCTAACATACTTGTACATGTAGTCTCTGGTCTTCACAGAAGTTTTACACATTGAGCTGCTTGTTTTGTCTCAAAATATAGTTTTGTTATTGTTGTTGTTGTTTCTCAGAGGTCCAGAACACGATGCTTCTAAAGGATTTCAAGCTGCAAGGTGAACAGATGATATGCATTACCAACAATATGAATTATAACGGGGTATTTTATCGTGAAGTGCACGTCAAACAAAAAACGTGGAACTGAAAGTGCGGGCCGAACTATTGTATGTACACTTCAACAGGAGAGCCATTCATGTGTTCACACATACAGCGAGTGTATGTGTTTTTTGTGGGAATACATGTATCTGGTTCACAAGCTCTTTATCATCACATTAAGGAATAATCCTCTTCTGGTGGCAATCTGTTGTGGGAAACTGAATTTGATCCACCAGAACGAAAAAAATGTTCGTTTTCCTGACTCTAAATGCCGTTCACTTTTCATGTGGCGTGGTATACAGAAACGTCCTGGATTGGCGTCGTGTGACGAAACCGTGCTGTTCCTAGGTCACAAATCTAACGGCACATGAAAATCGTGCAGGTCGTTGAAATGTGCTGGAAACTGTCACGCCACCCTATAGCGACAGGAGCACTTGGTTGGGCGTGGACGTTATCCAAAGCTTGCATTGCTTGCCGGGAAATCCACAACGTCCCAGGAAGTTCGAGAGGAAATAGATCTTATTAACTGATGGACTCCTTATGAACTGCAAGATGGTTCGTTCCCATTGAACTGCCCTTTCATCTGAGTGGCCACTGGGGTCTCATTGTGCAATTGTTACATGTAAGCTGTAATGTGTTTCTGAATCGCATCCGAAAATCATACTTGGATCGAGCTGAAAGCGTGAGAAGTTTCTCATCACAACCCGGAAAAGTGATCGAATTCAATCAGAATATAACACGCGCGCTACGACAGCTGAAGCGAAACTGCCTCGTAAGACATCTTCAACGAAAACCACGGCCCAACGGTCATGGCTAATAAGATAATGATACGATCAAAAGACTACCTTTTTCTAGCTTGTATATGATTCAATGTCCGACTGGTGAGCAAAAGACTGTCTTGCAGTGTTTCTATACGAACCTAGGCGAGCGGGTTACAGTGTAGGTAGGGAGAGAACTAAAAGTACGTAACTACCCCTTTCTTTCTGTCCCTCCCCCATCTAGTCCACGAGGTAAGAGCGTGCTCATAGATTAGTGTTAGCCTGCAGAACAGGCATCTTTGCGAGAGTAACAGGAGTACAGGTACAATGCTGTAAAACAATTCGCTTGTGTCGGGTTGGGCGACCACTGTGGGATCAATAACCATGTAGCCTACACATAAAGGGGCCTGTAAAGCACCGGGCTGTCTTGTCAAAGTTAGTAAACACGATGCTGTTGAAATGCCTTGTTATTCTTGTTAATTGACTGATTTCTCAACGAATGCTGCGAAATCGTTTCCAACGCATAGAGACCCAGTGCGAAATCGTCTAATACATTTATACTTCCTTGTTCGCCCGGAGTCGAGCCTGGGATAATTCTTGCGCGCGAGGTCTCGAAGCCTACGCTATTTTGTGGTCCAAGGCTCTGAGAGATCGTTAAACGGCGGGTTTGTGNGTTTCTATACGAACCTAGGCGAGCGGGTTACAGTGTAGGTAGGGAGAGAACTAAAAGTACGTAACTACCCCTTTCTTTCTGTCCCTCCCCCATCTAGTTCACGAGGTAAGAGCGTGCTCATAGATTAGTGTTAGCCTGCAGAACAGGCATCTTTGCGAGAGTAACAGAGGAGCACAGGTACAATGCTGTAAAACAATTCGCTTGTATCGAGTTGGGCGACCACTGTGGGATCAATAGCCATGTAGCCTACACATAAATGGGGCCTGTAAAGCACCGGGCTGTCTTGTCAAAGTTAGTAAACACGATGCTGTTGAAATGCCTCGTTATTCTTGTTAATTGAGTGATTTCTCAACGAATGCTGCGAAATCGTTTTCAACGCATAGAGACCCAGTGCGAAGTCGTCTAATACATTTACACTTCCTTGTTCGCCCGGAGACGAGCCTGGGATAATTCTTGCGCGCGAGGTCTCGAAGCCTACGCTATTTTGTGGTC